GGAAATTCCTTTATTTTGGACTGCAGAAGGAGAACAGAATGAAGAGAGTCTGAGAAGAATTCCAACAGCAAGTTGAGTTCAAGCAAAGGGCCCTACAAATGACATTATGCCTGTAACCCAGAAATAAAGAGTTTTATAGTTAGGTGGGCCCTCAAAACAAACAGTGTGGAATCTTTAAAAGCTCGCTCTAGTTAAAAATAATAACAATAATAATAGCAAGCATTTATACCTACTATATGCCAGGCATCATACTAAGTAAGCAGTTTACGAATATTATCTCTTCTGATCCTCAAAACAATCCTGGAAGATAGGCGCTATTATTATCCCCATTTTACAGATAAAGAAACTAAGGCAAAAGAAGATTAAGAGACTTGCCCTAGGTCACACAGCTAGTAAGTGTCTGATTTGAACTCACCCTTCCTGACTCCAGGCCCTGTTCTATCCACTGCACCACCCAGCTGCCTCTAAGCTGGAGCCAAGAAAGACCTGGGTTTGACTGCTACCGGCTTCTCTGAGTCTCAGTGTCTCTTTGTAAAATGGGGTAAAATAGTGCCCACCTCAAAGCTGCTATCAAAATCACATACTGTAAATATAAGGCGCTTTAGGAAACTTGAAGCCCACTATAGAAACATGTCAGCTTTTACTCTATATCGTCTAATCCAACCACCTCATCATACAGATGAAGACGGTAAAACCTTCAGAATAAAAACGATCCTGCCCAAAGTCACACAGCTTTATTAGCGGCAAAGTTAAGACTAAAGTCAGTCAGAGACTCCTGAGCCAGTGACTTTCAATCAAGTTTTCTACTACTAGAATTCCAGCTCAGTCCCAAAGACTGTGAGAACAGATCAGGTGGACCCCAAAGTATTTCATTACGTAGAGCAGCTCTCTCTGTTAAGTACATCCCAGCCCTGAGTCATACCATTGGAAGATGGTATAGAACCAGGCTTGGACTCTCAGACCTAGGTCAACAAAACACATGCTGATTAAGCCCTTACTAAAAGGTCAGGCACTGTACTTGGCACCAAGGCGATGAACACAAAGAAGGAAACAATCCTTACTCTCAAAGCGCTTATATTCTAACAAAATATATAAGTACATATGTAAGTACATATATACAGAATGACTGTAAAAAGAAAATATAATATAGTTAAATAGAAGTTAGCTAGGAACGGAGGATACCAGCAAATGGGAGGCTGGTGCCTGACTGAATCTGAAGGAAAAGAAGGATCCTCTGAAGCTGTGATGAGAAGGAAATAGGGGAAGTCAGTGCCTAGCACAAACGGGGAACAAAACGCCTTGTGAAGACTAAAGTGGAGGACAATTTGGATGGATCACAGAGTATGGAGGCAGGAAGTAATAAACACAACGAAGTGGAAGTTAAAGCCAAACAAAAGAGTTTATATTTTATCCTCGAAGATTAGAGTATTTTTTAGTACGTTGTGACTTGGCCAGATGTACACTTAAGGAAAACCACCGCGACAGCCATGTGAAGGTCAGACTACAGCAGAAGACACTTGGGGCTGGCAGAGCAATTTGGAGGCTGTTCCAATGATTGGGGAGCAGATCTGAAGTTCCTAGGAACCGCTGGGATTAATTACTTCTTCTGAAGCCTCTTAGGGTTCACGAACCCATGATGGCATAAAGGTGAGTCTCTCCAGTGGCACTGGGGCCACTCACTCCAAAGCCACCGTGATGCAGATTGATATTCTTGGGATTTATGGCACTTGGCATAAGAAACCAGGCACAGTGGTTCCACCACCCAACGGCCTGGAAGGAGATGGGTGGCCAAAACTAAGGATCCAGCACCCTAACAAAGGAAACCATGCACTGGAGACATCAGGCCTCTGCAGATATCAGTAAGTCACGTATTCCTTTCTCCATTTCCACAAGCTTTTAAGCAGCAGGCATGAAACTTCCTCAGTACCTGTTTTCTTTTCCCAGAACACCCCAGCGGACACATCCCTCCAACGCACTCACCAAGGCATTTCCAGTGTCCTGCCTAGCCTTGGGGCCCACTTAGACCCCGCTCACCAACAGAAGCTGCCTGGCAGGGAAGGCGGGGCGTCCTGAAAGCCGACCTCCTTCTCTGGTTTTTCCACCACATTCAGCGTGTTCCCCCCGGCTCTCAGAAGCCCAGCCACGTGCCCCTGCAAGCCCTAAGTACTCGTGCTAAATTTCCCTTTACCTCCCTTTCAAAAGCAGCTGTCGACCCTTCCCCCACCCAGAGAGCCACGGCACCTAACCAAGATGGCGCAGAGGCAGGGGGGCAAGGCTGAGCCACAGCTCGGCAGAGGTGGCCCACCCAGGCCTAGGCCACGCCCACAGCCCCCCCATTTATTTATGTATAAACAAACAAAATCTCCACTTTGGCCCAAATGCACTTGACTGGAACACCCACCGGTGCTGGAAGGCCCCATCTGCCCCTGCGGGGGAGGGGGCCTCGTTTGCCCCAAGGCCTACGGTACCTTCAGAGACACCTCTCCCCGTCCTTGCACCAATGTCCCTCTAGAAGGCCCACCTGGCCTGGCCTGCCCTGGCCTCACCTCTCACCTTCAGGTAGCCAGCCGAGCCTCAAGCTTCTGGAAGCTTCTTGGGCCACTTTTGAGCATGCTCAGTCAGCCTTGCCGCCTGGGGCTTTCTGGGCATGCTCAGTCGGCCTCTGCCTGACTGACACGTGCCTCCCGAAGTGCTTCTGGGCATGCTCAGTCGGCCTCCCCCATGACATTTGCCACCCCCCCCCCGGAGAGCTTCTGGGCATGCTCAGTCTATATCCACCTAACATCGCTGCCTCCTGGGGCTCTTCTGGGCATGCTCAGTCTGCCTCTGCCTGACTGACACTTCCCCCCCCCAACAGCTTCTGGGCATGCTCAGTTGGCGTCAGCCCAGCTGACACCTCCTTCCTGGACTGTGGACCTTGGCCTAACTGAGCCTGACACTTGGGGTCCCTTGAGCATGCTCAGTCAGCCTGCCCAACTGACAGTCCCTCAAGGGAGCTTGCTTAGAACACTAATAATAGTAGTAGCGTTTATATAGCTTTGTAAGGTTTACAAAGCACTTTCTATATGTTATCTCCTTTGATCCTGATGACCACCCTGGAAGGTGCAGGCTATCATTATATCCCCACTTTGCAGAGGAGGAAACTGAGGCTGAGAGAGGAGAGGTGACTTGCCCAGGGTCACACAACCAGTAAGTAAATATCAGAGGCAAGATTGGAACTCAGGTCTATCCTCACTCTTAAATCCATCACTCTATGCCTGGCATCACCTCACTGCCACTGCATCTAAAAATCGAGGTCACCCACCGCTTACCTAGCCAATGGGTATGTCCTGGATGAAATCTAGAGAGAACTAAATAAATGGACTGCAGCAAGAACCATGGGACCAGGAAGTACTTCCCAAAGGAATTTAGTCAATCATCTATCGTTTGCTAATATTTCAGATTACACGTGTTGCTGTTGTTTTTTCAGGGAGCTGGTTGTTAAACATCTAGCATCACACTCATACCTGGATTCAAATTCTGCCACAGATACCCACCACCTGCCTGATCTTGAGCAACTCAGCAATCCTGACTTATCGTTTTGAATCATGTAGACCAGAGGTGTCAAACATACAGCTGGGTCATAACCCTGAGTGAAGCCAAAGGAGGGAGAGGGAAGGCCAAGAAAGGGAGATGTACTGTAGTTCTGAGAGTCTACGTAAGCCCCTTGGGAAGGGAGAGTCCAGCAGAAGAGAGATGGTCTTCAGGTACACGTCCTTCTGTATTTTCCAGAATAAATAAATATGAAATCCTGTATCTGATATCTTGTTAGCCTGAGTGCTTCCATGGAACCCGAAGACCCTTAAAGCTACATGACGCCAGATACCGATGTTCCCCAAGGATATCCTGGGTAAGGGCAAAACAAGGGTTAAAACGTCTCCAAATCTGCAACCAGTGTGTGCGATCCCAAAACTGTAACTCAAGGCCATGGATTATGAATGAATGAATGCAAAACAGGGGGAACTAACTGTAGAATTGTAGTCAGAATGCTGGAAGTATTCTAGAGGCTCCCAAAGGACTTAATTTACAACCAAAGGGTGATGTATGGACTGGGAAGATGAGACTCTAGTAAATTATTGGGCAGACATTCTGGAGAGAAATTATATATATACATACATGTGCATAAATCTTATCTCTTATTTTAAATTTGAGACAAATATCTGTGATTTTATCAAGCAAGAGACTTGCTCACGGCCCGTCCACCCTTTCTTATCTTGTGTCATTATGGTCAATGTTCTTCTGAAAATCTTTCATCCACATACTGGGGACCTTCCCAGAGATCTCTTGACGTGGTATTAAACCCAACAGAGTGCATGGGCTGTATGTCTGTTATCTCTTACTATCACTGAATGACCCTTTCTGATCCCATATCCCACCGATGATACCCCTTATATCACTTCCATAAAATTCTGTATTGGTAAAATGTTGTGGGTTTATTCATGCCTATTACTCTTCACCCTTTAGATGACATGCGACTATATTTCTCCAGAGACTGCGATATCTTAAGCCCATAGCCAAGAAGCATCACACAAAAAAATATTAATATCAAAAACATGAATCTTTGTTTCAGGTAGAAGCATAGGAAAGCATGCTGCAATTTCCCAGATGCAATCCAGCCCACTATTTACCCAAGAGCCAGAGTACACAAAAACCATTTTAAGAGGACAAGAAAGGTGTCCCGCTTCTCTGTGAGAGAACCTTTTTTTCATCCAAAAACATTCTGTGGCACAGTAGCTTTGGGAATTATAATCTACTTCTTCATCAGAGTGAGCAGCAAAGAATTCTCCAATTTAGTGTCACCTCCTTTACTATAAGCCACCCATTTATGTGAAAGAGAACCAGAGTACACAGAAGAAATTCCCTTGGATCTGTGGGTCAGGGTTTCCCCTACAATAATGAAACCTATGGTGAACTTAGCTGGATCATCTAAATAAATGACCAACCAGGAAGGAAGAGGCTTTCCTAGATAAATATCGGGCCCAGGAGAAACTCTTTAGCTTTGAAGTCCCACTTGTGAGGAGTATAGTCACCAGTATGAAGAGCAGCCATCTCGCCTTCCTTTGGGGAATCATCTTCCTGACTCTGACCGCAGTTCAAGGTAAAAGGTTTCGTTACTGAAACCAAAGATGTGACTTACTATAAATCCCTGAGAGTGCCGAAGTTAAACGTCTGGCATGCCTATAATGAATGATGCTATGGGAAAGTTGGTGTTTCAGGCTTCTCTGCTGTGTTGAATGTTGACTGTCCAAAGTTAATTAGGTGTAGCTAGCTGCCGAGTCAAGTTCTATGATGAGGTCTAGGGGAAGAGTACTGAACTCATTTTCTGTCAGATGTCTGTCACTTAATATTCTCTGTGTTGTGTCTCATTTGCCTATCAAACAATAAGTTCTATTAGGGAGGGGAAGAATAAGCATTTATTAAGTGCCTACTGTGTGCTTGCATTATGCTAAGCCCTTTACAAATTTTATCTTGCTTGATCTTCCCCACAACCCTGTGAGGTGACATTATGACCCCCATTTTATAGTTGAGGAAACTGAGGCAAACAGAAGTTAAGTAACTTGCCTGGAGTCACACAAGCTAGAAAGTGTCTGAGGTCACATCTGAACTCAGGTCTTCCTGACTCCAGGACTGCACTCTATTTACTGCTCCACCTAGCTGCCCCACTAGGGCAGTGATCAGTCCTCTTCCCAAAATGGACTCTTAAGAAAGGTTTATTATTGTTGCCGGGCTTGGAACAGAAACCCTGTTTGCCTATTTCCTGCTCTGGTACTAGTTGCATGAATTTAGGCAAGTCACTTGGCCTCTGGACTTCAGTCTTCTTATCTATAAAATAGGGGTAATTTTACCTGCTCTGCCTACCTACCTTTCATGAATGTTCTGAGGCTCGTAAGAGATGACTCATGACAGCACTTTCAAAGACGATCCATGCTTGTGGAAAACAGTTGATACAATGTTCCTCGCTCCCTTCTTTGCAGAAATGGCGGACTATGGGTATAGAACATCGCATGTGCTGCCAGAAAGGTTGATGTGTTGATTGGGTGGTTTTGTGGAGCAATTGTTTTTCTTTCTCTTTTTTGATTCTTTGTTACAAGGATGACTTCCTGGGTAGGGGAGCAGGGAGGGATGTAATTGGAAATAAAGGTAATAGAAAAAGGAAACATCAATGAGAAGTGTGCTGATGCAAGATGAAGGTTGTGACTGGATGTCAAAGAAACAAAGATTCATGATTCTGACCAGACCAAACTCAACTCTCTTCTGCCCAACTCAATGGGCCTGCAAAAAGTTATGCCTAGATGATCTGTACATTCTTTGCTGGTCCTCAAGGGACACAGTCTGCATAATACCAATGACTTCTCAGATTAAATAGCTTAGTGGGGATGTGGTTAATGCATATTCTCCATCTAAAGTCTGTATCATCTTGACTGAATCTCTTGACCGAGATGCCAGACTAACTCATGTTGACTTACTGGTCCTAGTCTCTCTCTCTCTCTCTCTCTCTCTCTCTCTCTCTCAGCATTCTTGATCTCCAAAACAGGACGCTGTTCCTGCATCAATGTCAGTGGAACCAAGATCCAGAAAAAAACCATACAGAAGCTTGAGGAGTTTGCTCCAGGTTCTTCCTGTTCACGTACTGAGATCATGTGAGTGAAAAATCACCTGAAATGCAGGTGGAAGGATCTGTAACTTTATTTGGTGTGAAATATTAAGGCTCCAAATCCTCCTTAACACTAGTGCTTCCCTCTGTTGATTCTTGCTAGTATATATGCACGTAGCTTGTTTGCAGTTTGTCTGTCTCATTAGACTGTGAGCTCCCTGAGGTCAGGGATCATCTTTTGCCTTTCTTTGTAATCCCAGAACTTAGCACAGTGCCTGGAACATAGTATTAAGAAATGCTTACTGAGTGTGTCCATGCAAGTGAACTTGCCCCATAAGAGCAATTCAATCAATCCAACAAGCATTTATGTAGTACCTGCTAAGTGTCAGGCAATGGGTTAGGTGCTGGAGGTGCGAGATAGAAACAAAGCCGCTCCTGTCTTCAAGGAGTTTAGGCCCTGGTGAAAGGAAGAAGCAGCTAGGTGGTACAGTGGATGAGGCACTGGCCCTGGAGATCAGGATAGACCTCAGTTCAAATCCAGCCTTAGGTACTTACTTGGATGTGTGGGCAAGTCACTTGACCTCTGTTTTCCTCATCTATCAAATGAAGGGCTGTTGTGAGGATAAAATGAGATACTATTTATAAAGTATTTTGTAAACTTTAAGGTTTGTATAAATGCTCGCTATTATCACTATTATTATTCTGTACATAGAGAGAAAAAAATAGGCCATAGCATAGTGGAAAGACCACTGGATTTAGGGTAAGAGGAGCTAGGTTTGACTCCTGACTCTTCAGTTTCCATTTAGGCACCATTGAACAAGTCATTGAACATCTCTGGCAGTGTAGCATCACGGCTTTTAAGAATCTCAGATATTCTAGCAAGAAGAGAAATACTTCCTGACCAAGAACTCAAAGTATGTGGTGATGGTGAGCCCTTAGGGCCATTAACAGGTTGAAATGCTTCACTTTGATATTTCTCTTGGCAGTGCAACAATGAAGAATGGGGAGAAAAAATGTCTGGATCCAGATTCCTTACATGTGAAGATTCTGGTAAAAATGTGGAAGGAAAAGGTGAGTGGCAAGGGAAATTAACTGTCATCTCTCTTTCTCTTCAAAAATTAATATTTGGGGGCAGCTAGGTAGCACAGTGAATAGAGCCCTGGCCTTGGAGTCAGAAGGACCTGAGTTCAAATCCAGCCTCAGACACTTAACACTTACTAGCTGTGTGACCTTGGGCAAGTCACTTAACCCCAATCGCCTCACCAAAAAGAAAAAAAAATTAATATTTGCAAGGGTCACTTACATGGAGGTTGGAACAAAAATATACTTAGCTTACCATCATCAACTCAAACCCTTAATTCTAGAGACTAAACTGGCCTGGAGGGATAGTACAATGTAAACAGGTTTTTCTTTGGCACCAAAAAGAGCTAGCCCTCTGTACCTCAAGCATAGCATTTCATGGTATTCTGTGATTTGGAGGTGGAAGGGACACCAGAGATCAACTTCTGTGAATCTATAAGAGATTCAAAGAAAGAAAGATCACTAAATTGGGAGGATCAGGGCCTACACAAAGAAAGTGACACCTGAGTTGTGTCTTGAAGGAGGGGAAAGATTATCAGGGGACAACTTCCAGGCACGCCCAAAGGAGGTGGGAGAAGAAGGCAGGAGGAAAAGATTGGGAAACAACGTATTCTCCAAACAAGATGGTTTGGCTGGCACATAGGGTATATGAAGTGAACTTTGGTTCAAAGATGACAATTAGTAAATGTTTTCAAAATACCCATATAAGGAAGTCAGTAAAAGGACTGATCATATTTTATATTTGTATCATGTAAAGTTATTGAGAGGAAGTGCAATGTAACAGACCTCAGAATCAGGAAGACTTGGGATCAAGTCCCACTTCTGACACCTACTGTCCAGGTGACCCCTGGCAAGTCATTTAGTCTTTCAAGAGCCCAGGCAACTCTTGATGATCAACACTGGTAGACAGATTCACTGGACCAATGAAATTATAGCTTAGGATCTCAACTGGTGATATCAATGAAGGATGTGTGGGGGACAGCCTTCTAGTGTACTACTCACTCTTTCTCTGGGCTAGCCTGCTCACCCTAGCCTGACCTCATCCTGGCAAGTCTGAGTTCTCTTGGAAGGACCACCACCATGCAACTACAACTCAAACTCTCTCAGGATCCTAGGAATAACCCTTCTGTGGGAGGCATACGTGTCTCCTACTCATCACTGTAACTCCCGAGCCCACACTGGTATGCTACTGAGCCATACAAAATCGATGACACCATTATCTCTTAAACATAAAACATTTACTTAATGAGAAGGTGAAGTCAATAATAATTAGTATATTGCAGCTGGGTAATACAGGGAGATACAGGAATAATCAATTCATTACAATTAACCCATAAGCCTGCATCTTATGCTCTCATCAATGTACTTTTCCATGTTGGCAAGTGGGCCCATAATTACAGAAACCTAGCAGATGTAACTCACAGCTCTGGACTACAGGCCTTGATGGTTTTGATCCCTTCAGGAACAATCTGTACTGCATAAAATTGCTTCTTTGCTAGCTGCTGCCCCTTAGGGCCTTACTGTTCTCCTGCTGGGCAAGTCTGTTCCTCATCCACTGTCAAACTAATGAGGCAGAGAAAAGCTCTTGTAACTCATAATCACCCTAAAAAGAATTTTGAGGTAGTATTGTACTATGATACGGATAAGGACTTTTGGTTGAGGCAGAGAACTGCAAAGCTCCTCTGCTCAGCCTTCTAGGTAATGCAAAAAAAAAAAAAAGGCCAGCCATTTCTACACTCAGCAGGTTGCTGCTTTGTTCAATCAGCTCTTCAATCTCTTCTAACAGCAAAGCAGATGTACAATCTATCTTTTCCCTTCTGTTTCTCCCTATCCAACCAGAGTTGGAGGTAGAGAGCAAGCAGTACCTCTGAGACGTTTCACCTCCAATCAGTCCACAATCCCCAGCTTCCCTAACAGCTCACTCTCCTGCTGCCCCCCTCATTGTCTCCTGCGTTGTCCTCAACTCTGCTCCTTCTAGTTGGTTTTTCTGCTCTTCTCCAGTTGGCTTCTTAAACATACTCAGTGGCTCAAACCAGAGCCCTTCACTGCTCAATGACCTGTCTTTCCCTCATGAGCTAAAATTCAAAAATCTACCTTTCTGTTAGTTGTAAAACCAAGAGTCCTTCCCTAATCAACCCCTAGTCTCCAAACAGTTGGGATTTGCCACTTTGTGAATTTTAACATGTTAAACCAAAAAAAAAAAAGTTAAAGTAGGATACAGATGAGCTCTAGGACCACAATGCTCTGAAGCCTTAGTCATTTCTCTGTCTTCCACAGATCCTCTAGGATTTCTGTTTGGTTCTTCCAGCTATCTGCTCTTCCATTTAAACTTTTTCTTCACACATGGATTTTTATCAGTTTTCCATATGCAAAAATTCCCTTTCTGCCCTCTTTCAGTCTCCAAACTGTTCACATAGGAAAGGGGCAGTGCTTTAGATAATACCAAAATTTGGTTTAATCCCTGTCCTTTACACAATAGCTCATTTTCTGCTCCTTTCAGCAATCAAACTGCTCGTGGATGAAAGGGCACTCTTCCAAGAAGTCAAACTCTCTGCCTCTACTAACTATTGCTTCTCAATACTGCCCCTATCTTATAGATGTTGAAAATGAAGTCTAGAAAGGCAAAGGACCCAAGTCAAGTCAATATGGGAGCAAATATACTACTCAGATTGGGTTGTGTAGTAAGGTATAAAAATGAAGCTTTTGTGAATGGCATGTGAACTCCCACTAATACATTTCCAAATTAGTTGATAAGAATTATTGACACAGATCTTTAAACCATAATTTTAAGGTAAAGAAAGAGCATACTCAAGAGTCCAAATTCAGTTCAGCATGGTTAAAAAAAAGTTAAGAGAACAAAAACTTATTTTTATTTCCTTTCCTCTTTCCTTTCAGGAAAACAAAAAGAAGAAACCAAGAACAGGGAATAAAAAGCAACAAACCAAGAAAGCTAAAAAGATTAAAAAAGCTCAACATCCTTCCCCAGGGAAGACCACATAAGAGGCCGCTTCACGAAAAAGGCCTTTCAGGTTCAAACATTTAAAGACGAAATGTTAAGAAAAATTCTAAGTGTTAAAAATGTATCAGAAAAGTCAACTATTATTGTGACTAGAAATATTAAGCATGATGATGAAATATTAGTGATTCTTGGATATTGTTTTTTAAAAAATCCAATCGCTTTTCAGTCTAGAGACTACAATGTGTAATGAGGAAAAAGACAGGAAACCCTCCTTGTGGGAAAATTATCTTGAAGAAAGATCACAGTGAAGAGAATCAAAACACAATACAGAAAGAAAATACAATATCTGCATTTGTGTACACATGCACACACACACACACACATGCCCACACACACCTTGGCACCCATAAAGATTGTCCCATGTACACATGTCATCTAAGAAGCTGCTGGAGGAGGCATCCCTGCATTTGCCTGCCATACATCCCACACTACAGATAGCCAAAGTGAAGACCGATTTAGTTGACTCATTCCTTGGCTGCCTCCTACTTCCCTTCCCTAGACATTTTATTTCATGTTCGGAGCCTTAAAACAGAATCACTGGGGCTTAATTCAGTCCCATTTCTTTTTTTTTTTTCCTCTCTAAGTTCTGGAGCGATGTGCTATTAATTTACTTTAGTCTTTGGCAGACTAATTAAAACAATCTGTATGTCTCACAAAAAATTACTAGGGTTGTATGTAATCATCCTTTTGACTTGGTAGCATTTAGAGACTCAGGAACCTGCCACAACATTCACCTTGACCCTGCCCTTGAGGACTAAGAGGCTTGTGGGAAAAAAAAGATCAGGAGGATGGGGAGGCCACCAAATGGCACAAGAGATGCTACACTGGACTGAAGGACGTGACATCTGAGCAAAGTGGGTTTCCATATTGTTTGCTGAGAATAGCACGAAGGAGATGTGGCAGATGTAGACATTGCTGTCTCAGAGTGAGCTTGGAGGAGAAATGGTGAAACCCTCTATTCTCCTCTCCCCTTTCTTTTCCAATCCAGAGGAAAATGGATTTCCCTAGAACCTGTTAACCCCTTCACTTTCTTTACCCCACTATAGTTGTTTGGAAAGGACACCTGGGGATTTAAGGATATGGTTATTTTTCTCAATGTTCATTCCCACTTCTAAATCTTTAATATTTTGAGAAAACCTATTGGCCAAGAAAACCTTAAGCTATTTTTAAAAAATTTACTTATACTGCTTAGATAGATAGATAGATAGATAGATAGATAGATAGATAGATAGACAAACAAGAAAGAAAGGGAAAGATCCCCTTTTTGGACTATTATAACACTTGTAAAAACATCAGGGGACAAATATAGTTAAATATCCCTAGATCTATTTTCTGTCCTTTTTGTGAAAGCAATCACTGGCTTACAAAATTCATGGGCTGGGAGTGAATAGCCACTTTTAGGCTGAAAAGCTTGGGCTGAATCTCATTTTCGCAGGTTTCCCCTAGCATTTCGAAATCCAATCCAATCCAGTCAATGTTTATAAAGCTCCTACTATGTGCCAGGCACTGTACTAGGTGATGGGGAGATAATTAATGGAAAAAAGAAAGAGCCATCAAGGAGTAAATTTACAGTCTAAAGAAGTTCACCTCTGAGAGGGGAGTAGGGATGGTTGGAGTGGAGCGATGACATGATACCTGAATGGTCTTGACAGAGCTCACCTGGTTGACTAAGCAGTATCCTACAAGTCAGTGATATTACCTGTGCCTAAACTTGCTCACAAGCTACCCCAAGTGGTTAGACAAGCAATAACTCCTTCAGGGTCACGATGATTAAATCACTTTGCAAAACCTTGAGGGCTTAATATAAATGAAAGTGAATAGAACCGTCAGAAATCCACCAGCCTCTGGCTTTCCATGCCATCTATAATCTGACCCTATACCATCTAGCTAACCTCTTAACATAATCTACTATTATTCTCCAGTAATATAAATTCTGTTCCAACTCTTCTCCCAGTCTTCCAATTCATCCAGCGTCTCTTCTTCTAATAAACACACTCATTCCTGCCTGGTGCCCCAATCCACTTTGTACCTCTTATACCCTAAATGATCTGCCTCCCTCCCCATCCAGTACCTATCCAGTCTTCTAGATCTCAGCTCAAGGTCTTAACATTATCCATGAAGCCTTCCCTGGCTTCCTCTCTTCTCTAGAATCTCACTGTTCTTAAAAATTAATGCCACAGGGTTTGACACTCACTTGTCTTCTAATTGTTTCATCATTTTCGTCCTCAAAAACATCATAAGCTCCTTAAAGGACAGAGACCATATCATAACATCATAGATTAAGGTGGTTCAATAAATTTTAAACTATCTCTCTGGATCTGTTTTCCAGGTCAGTTGTTTTTTCATTGAGATTTTTCACATTATCTTCTATTTTTCCATTCTTTTGGTTTTGTTCTATTGTTTCTTGATTCCTCATAACCATTTGCCCCATTCTAATTTTTAAGGAATTATTTTCTCCAGTGAGGTTTTGGACCTCTTTTTCCGTTTAGCCAATTCTGCTTTTCAAGGCATTCTTCTCCTAATTGGCTTTTTGGAGCTCTTTTACCATTGGGCCTAGTCTGTTTTTTAAGGTGGTGTTTTCTTCAGTATTTTTTTGTGTCTCCTTTGCCAAGCTGTTGACTTGTTTTTTTCATGATTTTCTTGCATCACTCTCGTTTCTCTTCCCAATTTCTCCTCTACCTCTCTTATGTGACTTTCAAAATCCATTTTGAGCTCTTTCATGACCTGAGACCAATTCACATTCTTCTTGGAGGCTTTGGATTTAGGAGCTTTGACTTGGTTGTCTTTTGAATGTGTGTTTTCAGCTTCCTTGTCACCACAGTAACTTTCAATAGTCAGAATTTTTTCCTGTTGTTTGCTTCTTTTCCCAGCCTATTAGTTACTTATAACTCTTTGTTAGAGTAGGGCTCTGGTTCCAGGGTGGAAGGTGCACTGTCCCAAGCTTCACGGGTTTTGTGCAGCTGTTTTCAGAGATGCTCCTAGGGACCTGTAAACTTGCAGTTCTTCCAAGGTGGTATGATCTAAGGAGAGGTGGATTTATTCCTCTCCTAGCCTGTGCTCTGGTCTGTGAACACACTCTTCCTGCTGACACTGTACCACCTTAATTAAAGGTGTTCAACTGTCATTGTCACACATGTTAACTTTTCATTTCTCCCTACTAAGAGCATCTGGATATCCATCAGCACAGGCCAGGTAGGGAGGCGGCCGGTTCACTTTATCCAGAACATTCAGGCCCTATTTTCTGAGCAGCAGCTGCTGCTGCATCTCCACCACATCCTTGACTGAGGCAGATTTGTGCCTTTTCCTGAGGTTCTTGACCCTGATGAGGTATTCTGCAGTAGTGTGAATGCTCAGACCCTGCTGGCCCTCTAGGTGGGGATGGAGGTGCGAGACGGAGGCAGCTCTCTCCTGCAGCTGAAGCAGAAAATCTTCATCCTGGCGGTGGGCTTCACAGCTGGTCAGGAGAACTCGTGAGAAGTTCTTCCTTGGTCTCTCTCTCTGGCCCCTTCTTTCAAAGGCCAAGCTGGTTGACAAGTAGTTCCCACACGGCTTGGGGAGCAAACAGAAAAGGTAGGAGGCCAGTGAATGGGAGAGGAGAAGGAGGTGCTTTGCAAAAGTTTGCTCAAAAGATCAGAAAATAAAAGTAGATGTAATTTCTCCTTTCTTCCCCCTCAGTCCTCTACTGGATTAAAGCTAATTTTGATTGATTTGCTGCCTTTGTCCAAATAATACCTTAGATTAGAGATACTCTTTTCTCTTAACTGAGTGACCACACTAGAGGCAAAAAGTCCCTTGATAACCTGGCTATTTCATAGTTTGGGGGCAAGTGGCCGATTTTTAATGTAATTTTTGTTTTAGATAAAAGAAGATATCTACAATCTTACAATACATTATTGCAAAGTGCTTACATGCCTACATATCACAACCTCTCTGAACGTCAGTTTCCTTATTTGTAGAATGGTGTGGTAATAGCACCAACCTCACAAGAGTGTTGTGAGACACAAATGGGATACTGCAAGTAAAACAATATTATGGACTACATTCACATAGTATACAAATATATGCTATAGACAAATAGTTATTAAGCAGAAAAAATGCATACAACCTTTTGGAATTTTTAGGTAGGAAAACCACCATTTATATGATATAGTCTGTATTTTGAGATGTATCTGCTGTACTGAGAAAATAAATATGGTAGCAAACAAATCATTAGCAGAATCACAAGTTTCTTGATTTCTGTAATGTGCTCACTATACATGCCATCCTTCTATAAATGTTTTTGTTGGGTTTTTTTGGTTAGGCAATGGGGTTAAGTGACTTGCCCAGGGTCACACAGCTAGTAAGTTATGTGTCTGAGGCTGGATTTGAACTCAGGTCTTTCTGACCCCATGTCCAGTGTTCTAATGACACAGTATTCAGATAGATTTGTGACTTCAAAGATGTGGATGTTTCTCTCAATAACACAGGTTACAACTCATCCATGCCCTTCCATCCAGCCGGTTTGACCACATTTACCCATAAGTTCTCCAGGAAAGGAGCCCACCCAATATTTTGGGGGCCTTCCTCACTTTCTCTTGACATTGTGAGTGTAATCTTTGAGTTGTATGAGAGAGTGAATGAAAAAAAAAAAGGAAAAGGTATCCACTCCTCCTTCTTGGAATGTGAATATGACCAGTGAGTCCAGACATTCACTCCTTTTCTTCTGCTACTATGGCAGTTCCAACATCCTAATCACCTCCCTCAACTCCAACCCTGCAGAGAGCTTTCTTTGCACATGTGTCTCAGGGGAGGGGGAAACAAACAAGCAAAATAAGAAATGACCCAACCATCCAGTCACCTCTCAGATGGCAAAGGTGACTAATTTACTTTAGCCTGAAGGCAAGAAAAAAAAACCAGAACCAGTTTTACCTGCTTTGGGATTTTACAAAAATTAATAAATCAAAATCACTAATATTCTGTCTCATTTCCTCAGAGTCCCCATATCAGATAAAAGCTTAGCATTTTAGATACAGAGTTTGGCCCTCTGACCCACTCTATATATCAGTAAGTCACTGTCCCTCTTGTCACCTGATTCCCAAATAATGAAATACACAAATGAAAAGTCATAATGAAAAATCATAATTTTGTAAACAGAGTAAGCCAGCTTTAAAGTATTAATTAAAATAACAAGTAAGCAATGAAGGACAGAAAAAATATTGGTTTAGACATCTGTCCTAACAGAAAGGAAGGAAAATATAATTCACCACTTCTATGAATTGTCAGTCAGGGATAAGTTCGCCATTGATTGGACTTGCCTTATTTTCTGGTCAGGACAGGTCTACTTCAGCGGACAAAGATGCCAGCCCACATTGTGAAGCTGAGTCATGTTTGACCCCAGCAAAGGCTGGACACCCTCTCCATTCCATCTTCCATTGTCCATCTCCTCCTCTCCTTCCCTGGAATTGCCTCCCAGGGACCTCGCTCCAACTCTCAGTCTCCATACACATATCCACATGTCCCTTGCTCTCTCAGCTCTCCCAGGATGGGAAGAAACAATGCTATCTATCTGAGATCATGCCCTACACGCTCAGGTTCTGAGACACTCTTTCAGGCATTCTTTGTCACCAGGATGTCCTTTACCTGGCTTCTTCCTTACTTGTCACACATAGCAGATTCCTCATTCC